TTACCCAGTTTCAGCAAATCTCCCTTTCTCCTTCCCTCTACGCGCGCACTTACACATCCACATACATATGCGCACGCAGAGTTCTAGGTAAATACTTTAATTAAAATAAACTGCTGACGATACATTTCACGTTATCTTAGAAAGAGAGAAAAAAAAAGATGACTTCTGATTTGTGCCAGTTATGCTTTTCTTTGAAACGATAATTTTTATAGTGAGCGTTGTATTGTTTCATATATAAAGGACGTAGTTCATAACGGATAAAAAAAGCGGGAAATCCGTTCTGTCGAAAATAAGCTTATTGAAAGGTAAGACTTAAATTCAAAATCCAATTTATATTCAGGTCTGAAGAGGTGGGGAAGAAACAACACACGTGGGTCAGGTGAGGTCGAGAACCGCTTGGTATATGTGAAGTGGCATTATAGTCTGAGGACACAAAACTCTCTACTGTGTTGATACTAGGGTACAAGAAATCTATACGCATACTCGGTTACTTGAAGGAGAAGGTAAACTTATTATGTGTAAAGAGACCCTTCCACCCACTGTTATATATTGTTATATAACAATATCATACTAGTCTACGGGCACGGGTATCAGCGACCGGACTTTCAATCCAGATTGCTAATAAGATAGTTTGTTAAAACAGAGAGGCCGTTTTTTGTGTGTGACCTATGGATATGACGTACTTGAGTTAAGAGACATGCTTACTGAGACTGACCTCGTTTTCAGATAAAAAAAAACAAAAAAACACATACACACACACACACATACAAACAAAACAAAAACAAAGTCTATTGCATGAAGAGCAAAGAATGGCATAGGTGCTTACTTTAGTAATAAAGGGGAGGTGTGTGAGGACAATACAACAGTGAAGGCTGGCCTTGCGAAATACGATAGTAGTTTTAGCAACAGCAATAGAGTATTTTTGTCTCAGGGAAAAGGTTTGAGACGTCCAAGACAGTACATCATGAACATGGGAAATGCATGATAGAAAGATAATAGATCATCTATGGTGGAGGGATTGTTTTTAGATGAAGTAAATTAAGGTTAAGGCTCCGTCAATGTAATCGACCGAGAACTTACAAGCACCGGAAAGAGGGGCCATGACCTCGTCGTTTCTCGCCGAATCAGAATGTGACCATTTAGCTCTTCCTCTTCACGTTCACAACCCATGATGTTCTACAGCTCCCGGAAAAGTTGGTTGCTGTTGTAGTTATTGTTGGTATTCCTCTCAGTTATCATCATTATTATCATCATGTTCGTAACCATTTCATTATTATTATTATTATCGTCATTATTATCATTATTAATATTATTATTTCGCATTCACAAAACTTTGCTGTTATGCCACCGAGAAAGTTGTTACTACCACAGTTATTGCTGATGTCTCTCCCAATCTTCCCGCTCCTCATCATCATCACTATCTTAACTGCCGTTATTATTATTGTTATTAACATTATTATCATTATTATTTTTATCATATTTTCATTATCATCATCATTGTTATCATTATTATCATGATTATCATCAATATTATTATTACTATTAATGTTTCTATTTCAGTTATTGTTATCATTATTATTGTTATTATCATCATTATCGTCAGCATAACCATATTAATGATGACAGTATTACTACTGCTAATAATAATAATTATGATTTTCATCATTATCATTATTATTGATTTCATTGTTATAACTATGATCATTATCATTAACAATATTAGTGAAATTCTTCTCCTTAGTATTGTTATTGCTGAAACAGTTACATTGTTCCTGGTTTGATTTTGTTTGTTTTTTGTTATATACATCTGTTATGCTGCTATAAATACGTGTGCGTGTTTATAAACTGTTTCTCTGGGTTATTAGGTTTCAGTTTATAACCTTTAAAAAACTTCCATTGTTCTCCATACTGATGAATATATAATGATCATACTTAGCGACCTATAGAAGATGAATATGTCATAATTATGCCTGTTATCAACACACGAGTCAGATCTGATATGCACAGTTGCAGACATTCACCATGAAATCCATCGTACGCAATAGTTCGGGGTTATACTCTTAATTCAAGTATTTTCAAAAAGGTAATTCTGAATTCCCATAGGTTCTGTTGTCAGCCTGCTTTAGAATATAAGGAGCGAATATCGAAGTGCCTACTTTACTCAAATTAATCTTGAAATATATACGCTTTGACTCTAAATGCGTTTGGTCTGGACAAAATAACCTATGGAAAACTTTTAGACATCGCTGCTCACCATTCAGTATTTACTTTTAATGAGTCCCTTTACACTCAAGTTGACGGCGTAGCAATGGGATCACCACTTGGCCCTTGTTATGCTAATACTTTCCTTTGTTATCATAAACAAGCTTGGCTCAACAACTGCCCTTCGAACTTCAAACCAATTTATTACCGTCGATATACGGACGACACACTTTCCTGCTTTTCAGTGACCCGTCTCATATCAATCCTTTTCTTTCTTATATTAATTCACAACACCCCA